AGGGCAGAGCCCAGCAGGTTTATTAACCTGTAGGAGATCTGTGCTGGCCCCTTCATCCCCCTCAGCCTGGAGGTGGGCAGGGAACCCAGGAGAGGTCCCTGCACGTCACTGATGGATGGGCTGGGTTGGGTGACATCTTACCTGCCCACAACCACCCTGTGTGATGTGTTCACGGGGGTCTCAGGTTGAGGGAAGAGATGAGGATCTGACTCCATGTTTCAGCAGGCTTGATTTATTATTTTATGATATATATTACATTAAAACTATACTAAAAGAATAGAAGAAAAGGTTTCATCTCAGAAGGCTAGCTAAGCTAAGAATAGAAAGAGAAAGAGTGATAACAAAGGCAGCTGTCTGAGACTCTCTATCCGAGCCAGCTGTGCTGTGACTGGCCATTAATTACAAACAAGCACATGAGACTAATTACAGATGCACTTGTTGCATTCCATAGCAGCAGATAATCAATGTTTACATTTGTTCCTGAGGCCTCTCAGCTTCTCAGGAGGAAAAAATCTTAAGGAAAGGATTTGCCATAAAAAGATATCTGTGACACCCTGTCTGGGGGCGAGGGCTTGCCATGAACTCCTCAGGGTTTGGGGATGGACAATTGACACTGCCAGACCACATTCACCCCGAATTCTGGGGTAAGAGATTATCTGGGAATGGATCTACGTGAAATAACCATCAGTTCTGAGGAGTGAAAGGAGTCACAAAAGAGGCCACATCTGCAAAGAGAAAGCCTGGAACTCCAGGGAAACTCCTCACCCACCCTCTGTGCTCCCCCTGAGCCAGCCATGGCCATGGATGCAGGCAGGGCACTGGAGAGAGGGATGGCTTCCATGGGTGAAAAGGGAAGAAAATGGGATAGGGATGGCACAAGGAAATTTGAACGGAATTAGACAGGGAGGAAATGTTCCTCCTTATTATAATTTAAGTCCATGCACTTGCTTAATTAACTAAATGTATGGTGCACAGTATGAAGATGAAAAATGCACCCAAACTATTTTTAACACACTTAAAGAGATGCATCAGGGTTGTAAATTCTAAGTAGGAAATGCAAGAATTATGTTGGTTCCTGTGCACACAGCTTTGAAAGTGCCTGAATCCAGGCTGTTTCCTTGCCACTGTTCCAAATGCAGCCCCCCATTCAGCTCAGGGGCCAAAGCTGAGCAGCTCACCCAGGGATCAGCAAATGTGTCCGCAGACACCTCAGACCATGGGGGTGCCCAGGGTGAGCACCTTGCTTAGGGTGGCACAGAACAGTGATCCCTCCTGAAATGAGATGGCAGGTAGGGACAAAAAATCACTGTCAAGTATTACAGCCCTTCCTGTGCACAGGACAGGTGACAGAAACCAAGCCAAAAGGACTAGAAGAAAAAAAAATTATTCAGAGTAATAAAATGGAAAACTTTTAGGAGCCAAATGCCCACCTGCACAGAGAACTAAATTGAGATCTAAGTGCTGCTGCACCCCTCAAAAAGCCTGACCTGCTATTTAGACACAGCTCAACTTTCCAAGTTTCAGTTCTGCCTTGAACAGAATGAAGCCATGTGCTGCAATGCAAAGGATCTGTCACAAAAAAAAAAAAAAAAAAAAAAAAAAAAAAAAAAAAAAAAAAAAGCTGGGGGAAATAGAAAAGAAAGGTATTGAGAGAAATAGAAATATTGGGAGAAGGTGAGAAATAAAGGAGGCTCAGACTTCTGGGAGAGCACCTCTAGCTACACTCAAAAATGGGGCCCACCAGGCTCAGCTGTCCATGGGGTTATCCAAAAAATATATTAGATATCATATATATCATACCCACAGCTCCCAAGAGCAGGTCACCCAGTTGTGTCAGTGTAGGAAGAGCTATTAAATACAAAAATGAATCATAACACAGAAATATAAAACCCTGCTTTTGCTCACAGAGGTAACAGCTCTGCTTTTAGAGAGGCAACATCTGAGATGAGACCAGGGCTGGGGGAGTGAGAGATTCCCTGGTTTGAATTTCCCTGATTTCTTATGCATGAAATGGTGAGAAAGGGAATGATCGACAGCAGGAAGAGGTGGGGAATGAAATCAGATGGATTGGATCTAGGATGCAGCACTGGAAATAAATGCAACCTGCACAGGCTTCTCAAGGCACAGCATCAGAACCAGCCTGGGCCTCTGCAGGCAGGCATTCAGCAGAGGTATTACCCAGAGGCACCTCTCATATTTATTAAAACACCTCTGTGCTAGGAGAGCCCCAATAGTTTTTGTCTCGGCTTTGGGTGCAGGGAGCTGCCCGAGCAGCCCTGGAGCAGCTCCGTGTCTGCAAAGGCAGCTGGGTCTGCAAGCATCTCTGAGATAAAACCCAGCCTTGCAGCATCACAAACTCACTCACACTGGAAATAAATCTGCATGCAAGGAAGCCCCTGTGAGCAGCAGAGCAGGGAAATAGGGGTGCTGGCAGTGGAGAGGGCTGGCTGGAGCCAGGACAGTGGCAGGACAGGGCACCCTCATCCACAGCCTTCTTCAGGACTCCCATTTCTGCAGGATGAGGGCTAAAGGCGCTTTTGTGCCCCAGGATTTGGCACAAAATGAGGTTTGGGGCATGAGGAGACAGAGGGACCCCAATAGCACACACAGGGCACTGCACTGGCCTTTGGGACATAGGAATGGCTCCAGCCCTTCCATACAAACTTTGTGACCTTGAGGCAGGCTAGTCATCCTCCCACACCTTTGAATAAGCTTTTTATCTGTCCTGTCTGTCTGCATTACTGACTTCCAGTTACAGAACCCATTCCAACAGCCCCAGAGCTGGCACAGGCCATGCCAGGCTCACCCGGGCAGCAAGGGGGGATAACTGAGCCATGAGCTTATCCTGGCAGCTTTGTGTGAAGGTTCCCATATCCTTCAGCTCTTCCAAAGCTGTAACAGCAAACTGCCAAAGCTAAACCTGTCATGGGTACAGTACAGAAAACTGGAGTCCATAGAACTTCCCAATACACTGTAAAAAATTATGATATCACCAACTCTTCACAGACATTGGTGCGATTACCACCTCAGCCCTGAATTCAGCCTCCATTTCCCAGCAGGTGTGTGAGGGGAGGAGGCAGAGCTGGTTTTACAGGCTCCCCGTGGTGCCACAGCAGATACAAGTGGAGTCACAAGCCCAGAACAAACGCAGCTGCTTGGGCTGGGGGATGCAGCTCCGGGGTGAGAGCCAAGGGGCACTGGGAGCAGCCTGGCACTGGGGACAGGGCAGTTTGGGGTGTCCTGGCTGCCCAAGCAAATGCAGAGAGCCAAACAGGTCAGAAGTTAAGACAGAGCAGCTGAAGAAGCCCAAGATGTTTGTAAAGCCCTCACAGCCAGAGTTACCCCTGCTGTTTGTCATTTGGCTTTCAGCCCCTTCCATCTCTGTCACTGTCACCCCAGCGTCCCCAGCTGGGGTCTCAGCTGTATTTAACAGCACCTTGCACACAGCATCCCCACCCTCAGTGCACACACAGTAACCCAGCTCCCAGCATGGACACTTGGCCCCTCCACACCATTCTGGAAGATTTTGAGACACAAACCACCCACAACTCCAGAGGATGGACGGGAGCATGAAAGGTGTGCAGGAATGCCCAGTGCTGGACTTCACACTCCTCCTTGTAGCTGCAGTTGAGCTCCACAGATGCTCTGTCTTCTCCTCTCCCATTTCCCAGGGGAAATGAGCTTCCCCAAGGACCCCAACTCGCTGCAGTGCTCAGCAAACCTCCCCCTTGCACCCAGCAAGGATCTCCCCTCTCCCATGGTCCCACCAACACCTCCAAGGAAGGCCTCAATGTACAAAATGGCTGAGGAGCAGAAAGCACATCCCAACTCCTTATCTTACAGCAGCACAACAGCAAAAGGATGGAGGGGGAGGAAAAAAAAACAGAAAAGGCCCCAAAAATCCTTTTGCCATGGCTGACAGAGGCCCTGGCCATGAGGAAAAGCACAAAAACAAAACAAAAAAAGCATTGGCACCAAGGGTAGGAGCAGCTCAGCCCGAGCCCAGGCCTGCAGAAGAGCCCGGTGGGACTGTGGAAAGTCCCAGAGGGAAGGGAGTTGCAGTAACGCCGAGATTTGTCTTGACCCTCCCTTTGCGAGCCTGGGAACAACGGGAAGTCATCTGCACTCCTATGCAGCAATGCTTCAGGGATTCGGGGAATCCTGCTGCCAAACGCGGGTCAGCGGGGCCATTCCTGCCCAAAACCCGGGTACCCGGGGAGGGGATGAGCACCCAGGGATGCTCCTTTGTTTACCGCTCGGCCGTACAGGCTGCGAGCCCCAGACACTGATTAGCATTTCTTTCTAGACACATCTCCCATTTAGACGCTTCCCACCGGGGACAAGAAATACCTCCAGAAGTCTGAGCAGAGCCCCAGAACCAACCCCAGCCCCAAACCTTTACCTGCAGCCGCCCAGCAGGCAAAGATGGGGCCGGGGAGGGAAGGATGCTGGGGGGGTGGGGGGGAGGAGAGACGGTGCCTGAGCGGAGCTTTTTGTTCCTCTGCTCAGAGCATTGCTATGGTGATTTCAAGCAAGACGGAGGAACAGTCGCTACCCATCACTCCCGCTGCACCGACCGCATGAGCAGCCCCTTCCCCCGCAAGCAGCAGCGGGCAGGGGGAGACAGGGGCTCGGTGACTCTCCTGGGAGCCTCCCCCCAGCTCTGCAGGGGCAGCTCCTTCCCCGGATGGCCATCGCCGCCCCGATCCCGGGCACCGCCTGGGCTGGGGCGAGGGATGCGGGATGCGGGATGCGGGATGCAGCGGCGGCCCGGCCGGCCCGGCTGATCTCGGGAGGATGAGGGGGAGCGGCTCAGCCTCCGCCCCCCGCAGCATCCCCCGGGGCTCCCCAGCCAGCCCTGGCACCCGGCATCCCTTCCCCGCACCCGCTCTGCAGCTGGAGCATCCCCGCTCTCCGGCGCATTCGGGGGCTCAGGGGATGCGGGAGGGCACCCCGAACCCGGGGGTGCCACCAGCTTTGCCCCCCACCCTTTTACTCACACGTATGCGTGGTAAATGAAAGCCCATCCCCGCGGTCTCTCCAGCACATTGTAGAGGAAATTCTGCAGCTTGCGGTAAAAAGCATTCCTTTTGGGGGGCTTCCCGCTGCCCGAGACCCCGGAGCGCGGCTTGCTGAGGATGCTGCCCCGCTTGGAGCTCTCGGAGCCGGCGATGAGCAGCGCTCCGTCCCGGCTGGAGTCCGGGGCGCCCGGGTCCAGCCCCACGAAGCCCACCTTGAGCTTCTTCTCGGCGGCGGGCCCCGGGTAGACGCCTCCGTTGCGGGATTTCTGCACCATGGTGGCGGCGGGGGGCGGCGGGGGGCTCCGGCGGGGGCTCCGCCCGCGCTCCCCGCCGCTGCTCCGCGCCCGGCGCAGCCGAAGCCGCAGGAGCCGCTGCAATCGGCTCCGCCAGCGCCGCCCCGCCGCCGCCCGCCCCCTTAACCCTTGGCATCCCCCGCCGGCAGCAGCCGCCCGCACCCCCACCCCACACACACGCTCCTAAAAATCCGGGCTTGCCCTTCGTCACCCCCTCGAAATTTAAAGAAAGCGTCTCCGACCAAGAAATGCAGTGTTTGGTACTGTTCCCCCAAATGTAGGTCCCCCATAATGCAAGGGGGGACATCCCACCCTCAAATCAAAGTGCAACATCTTCCTGCTGCCCACAGCTCCCCAAACCGGGCTCTGGCAACCCCTCAAAACCCCCATGGAGGGGGCTCGCCCTGTCCCCCAGGAAGGGCTGGGCAGCGCCCTGTGGTGGGATGCCAGCCCTGTTCTTAACCCTTGGCATCCCCCGCCGGCAGCAGCATCCCGCATACCCCCCACTTCCACCCACTCCTAAAATTCCTCACCCGCTCCAAATCTAAAAAAAGCCACTCCGACCAAGAAAAGCAGTGTTTGGTACTGTTTCCCCAAATGTAGGTCCCCCCTAATGCAAGGGGGACATCCCACCCTCAGATCAAGGTACAACATCTTCCACAGCGCAGTGTTTGCTCCCCAAACCCGGCTCTGGCACCTCCTCAAAACCCCCATGGAGGGGGTTCCTCCTGCCCCCCGGGAAGGGCTGGGCAGTGCCCTGTGATGGGAGTGGGATTCCAGCCCCCTGTTCCCACTGACAGCAGGTGCAGACACTGCCAGTGTCACAGGGCCACCCAATCTGTGCCCCCTCTCTGTGAGCCCACTCAGCAGCAGACCTGCTCAACCTCTGCACAAATCCCACGGTGCAAAGTCATTCCCTTTCTCCACGCTTCCCAACCTCTTCCCAACCTATCCTCTTGGAAGCCCAAATTCAACATTCATGCTGAAACTGCACCATGGCATGGTCACCAAGCTGTTCAGAAAGTCCATCTCCAGATGTGCTGACCCAAACCAGCTCTTTAATACCCCACTATTTATAGTCCAGCAGCAGCATTTTGCCCCTTGTGCCACGGATGGATTCTGCCCCAGGGAATATTTCCTGCTGACACAGCTTCACTGGACTCAGGAGAAGACAGGCAGGCTGCAGAAAACAGGACAGAGGTGCCTGCCCCACATAATTATCCTCCACGCAAAGGGTTCTTTGAAGTGCAATGGGAAGACCTGCAATCAAATAAAATCAAGCCCAAGATCATCATCTCCTTCCCAGTGACATTTCTATCCCTTACAACCCAAAAAATCACAGGTAATCTGCATGTTCTTTGTAAGTAAAACAAGGCTTCAGGATAAAACTTTTTGTATGTAAATTAAATAGCAAGCTCAGGTAAGCTGCACCTTTCATCATAAATACTTCAACACAACGTTAGTAGAGAAGCAGCAAAATGATGGCCCTGAATTCTATGCCTGCAGGAGCCACCCAGGGCTGGATTTTGCTGGAAAACCAATCTTACCACTCTGTATTGTTGCCAGCTTTCCCTGAAATTCATATTTAAACGAGAAAATCAACATAACCTTTCAGAGTGCTCTTCTCAAGTCCTGGCTTTTTGGTCCTCTCCTAATTTCTCAGGAGGATCCCAGTGAGAACTAATGGATAAGAGGAGCACTGAGATTAAAGTTGCTGCCTCTCACTCCCCAAACCCTGTCATGCACATTGAGAGAAGACTGAGCATGGAGCAGCCCTACATTTTTTATGAACAGAACGTTTCCTGTGACCCATATTCTCTCCAACACATGGCTGAAAGAGAATCCATCTCTGCAAGGCAGGCAGAAAACTAAAGCTGGGTTAAATACTGGAAAACCAGATCTGCAAGTATGTCAGTGAATAAATTGCTCAATTCAATGAGGGGCCATTCTATTCATTATTTGTGAACACTTGTAAGATCATTAGTGTTCTTTAATAGGGTGGCCAATTACAAATGTGCCTGGCACTAATGTACAAAGTGCATTATTATAGATCCAGTGACGCAGTCCCAAAGCAGGAAATATCCCCCTCCACAAAAAGGCCAACAACAAACAAAGGAAGCAGTTTTCAATTAACAAATTCAAGATTACAAATAGTCTGTGAGCCCTAAAGAAGAATCTAAATTCAACACACTCCTCTTTGCCTAATTAGTTGGTCATTCTCAGTGCCACACTGCAGCACAGCTCTGGGTGCCCTGCATTTCTGAGACCACCAGAAATGGGGAGTGGGGAAGGCAAGGGGTGGGATCTCACCCTTTCCAAGGCATGGGTGAGCTGAGGAAAGGCACAGTGTGGTTGTAGGGACTGTCAGGGATTGTTACTTCACTCAGGAGGGAGGCAAAACCTCAAAGAAAAGCAAGACCTTGAGAGCAAGTGCAACAAAGATTGTCTCCTTTTAGTGAAGAGAGAGCAGTGGAAAAGGCCTGATATTGTGGATACAGGCCTCTTCTAGCCTCACCCCTTCTTTCTTTTTACCTTGGACTCTTAGGGCATCTCTATCTCATTTTTTTGGATTGGCACCACCAGATGCAGTTGAGTGCTCAGAAGCACATGGCTCTACCCTTTTCACCTCCACGTGTCGCTCACAGGACCTGTCCCTTAATCCAGTGTCCAGTGCCTGGCCAGTTTCAGCCCTGAGAGGAGCAGCAACTGGTTACAAACACTGAGCTAGGATGTCCTGCACAGAGCCTGCAGCAGGTAATTTTGGAGATGAAGTCACTTGTGTGTCACTTGTGCTGGGTGGCACAAGACAAGGCACAGCCATTAACACTGGGAATTAATGAGGTATATAAAAGCAGCAGTGGGAAGGTGCTTTTATCTGATCCAAGAACATTATGTCTCCACAAACAAACAGAATTACTGAGTCAGTCCTTTGCTTTCAACACTGGTGATGGCTTTAAAACACAAACACCATGGCAGATAGCTTAGACCCTGAAGGTAGGATGAAATCCATCAATCCATGTTAAGATACAGAAAGTCCATGCTCTGTCCCCTGGCGATTTTTGAGATGTAGTAAGAAATGACTGGTGTGAAATATCTAGAATGACTCCAGGGATAAATTTCTGCTTGAAACACTGAACGAGAGCCCTTTCTCCATCCCCACCCAGCTGGTGGCTTGTGTGAACTGCGCTACCCATAGCCTGGGTTTTGTCACTCACAGCTCTCTCCCAGAGCTATTTTCAAACCCTAAAGCAGATGGCTTTACCTCCCCTTGTACAGGATGCTGCAACATCCCAGCAACACCAACCTGCCAAGGGAAATACATGAACAGCTCGCTCTCTCTGCCCCCCTTGTCCACCCATCTCACCCTGCTTCAGCTCCCCCTCACCTCCCACCACCCCCATCCTCTTCTCTGAGGAGAAAACAGCCCTCAAGAGCCCCTGTCCATTGATTATTCATGTCGCTTCCCTGCCTGACTCTTCCCAACACGCCAAATCAGTTTTGGCTTTGAAACCAGCAGCCCTGACCCAAGAGAGGTTGGTTCATACAAGGAACTCGACCTGGAAGGAGATGCTTCCCCAGAATAAGGTGGAGCCTTCAGGGGGAAAAAAAAGCTGTAGGAAAGATAATTCCTGTGCACAAATGGAGAAATCTATGTATTTCCAAAGGAGAAAGGTGAGTGTGACATTTGTGGCTGGAATAGAAGGCAATGCTCAGCCAAAGCTTCCACATTTGGGATGAAGAGATGTGGTTGGTACAGCTGCAGAGGATGTGCAGGGTGGTGAGGACACTGGTGCAAAACCTTGAGAGCAAGAGGGTTCAAACTGGCAGAGATCAAAGATTGCTTTTGGCACTGAGTCACAACCACAGCATCAGCACTGATTTTTTTAAACTTTTGTTTTTAATCACCTGAAATGAAGGTGCACCAGATGGTTTTCCAGTTCTGATCAAATCTGACAGTCATGTGTTTCAATGCTAATTAAGTTTCTATCCATTTTCATTCAAACTAGAAGCTCTGATAGACAGTCTCCCCAATGGTTCCTTCTTCCCCCTTCAAAGGTGATTTTAAAGTGAATTCTCCTCTTTACCAGGCACAGGAAAAGGTGTCCATGAGCAGGCCACGCCTCCCAACCACTAAAAATCTTTAGATCAATCAGAATTTGCAAGCAACATGCTGATAAGAAGAAACCAGGCTCCCTTCATCCTGCTGCTGACAGAGCTGCTTATTTTATATTACATATTTATTGGATGCAAAATTTCTGTGCCACCATCCATCTTCCTGCCCTGTTCTTAGACAGCACCGACCTCATTGGAGGCTGCTCCAGAAAAAAGTCAGGACAAATCCTGCTGTATGAGATCAGCTTGAGCTGCAGCTGGAAGCGCTGACTGTATGAACAGAAATCTCTCCAAGTTATGCTGAATTGACTTGGGAGATACACATGCTCCATTCTTAACTAGAAATTTATGTTCCTCCTTTCTAAGGGTGATTAAAATTGCTGAGGTCTAAATATTAATTTGTGCTGTGGAGGCCTGACTTTAAGGAAAACTGGTTTCTGGAAAGAACAGCTGCTTGGCTGGGCATGTGGAAGGAGAAACAAGTGGAAAAAAACCGAAATGGAGGCAAATTCTCTTGGATTAATAAATTGTGTTACCCTCAGAGCACCCACAAAGCTGAAAGTCACAGAGGGATCAGCACCCTGCTCAATTTCCTGTCACCTTTACACTGCTCTGCTTCTGCCCCACTCAGTGCACACAAATCCTGGCAAATTCCCCACTGGCCAGGTCTCCTTCCCCATCTCCACTCTCCACCCTTCCATCATTGCCCTCCAGCTCCCTCTCCTGCCCTCTCCTCCTTTGGGACCACGTGTAATTTCTTTTCTTCATTTATGCCGTTACCTTGAAGGTATTTTTAGCCCGTGACCACAGTTGCCCCTGAGCCTTCCTTTTCCCAGACTCTGTAAATTTAGCTCTCTTAGTCATCCCTCACGTCT